TAGCTATTCAGCAAAGATCAGTTGAGTGCCTACTATATGCCAAACAGTAGTCTTCGCATTTGGACTCCCACAAGGTGAAATTCAAACACGATGGCACATTGCGCCTCAGAGGACCATGGGAGATTAGAGAGGACTCAGAGAAGCATAAGTCCAATGCTGGCTAACCATTTACAGGCTGTGATTCCTGCACAGCGCCTCAGTTTCCTCATCTGTCATGTGGGGACAGCATTAGTGCCAGCTCTTCCCAGGCCACAGAATGGTCATGAGGTTCCAACAAGACCATGGTTCGAGGGCTGGGCTTCGGAGACCAGCTGGAGGGCAAGCTCTGAGAGGACAGGGGCTGTGAGCTGCTCACCGCGAGGCCACCTTTGCTTGGCATGGGATTGACATAGGATACATATTAGGGGCATTACAAATACATGCTATCTGAATGAACTTTGATCAATTACCAATATCTTGGCAAGTAGTCTAGCAAGTAGGGCAAGAAGGAGGAAAGAGAGAAGTTACATTAGCTTCTTGGTGCTCCTATACCAAGTACAACATGCATAATGACTTAAACCAACATCAGCTGAGGTTCTAAGGGAAACCCACTCTCTCTGCTTGTCCAGCTCCTAGCGGTTGCCTAGAGGACATCATGCTTGGTAACGGTGGAGGGGCAGTGAAACAGATAAAAACCCCCGATGGGATGGCTTGACATGGTGGCTGCACCAGTGGGCGCAACATAGGAACAAAGGTGGGGCCGGGGCCGGACTGGGCAGTGCTTAGGGTTGCTATGAGATGGAAACTACTTGATGGACCCTAACAACAACAGAGGTGGCCTGCATCCCCTGGCTACTCACAGCATCCTCAAAGGTAGCAGCACAGCATCTTCCTCCTCTTTGACCTGCCACTCTCCTCTTAGAAGGACCCTGTGACTCTGCTAAGGCCACCCAGCCAACCCAGGCTCATGAACGCAATCCTGGCTGCAGACAGCCCTCCGAGTGTCACGCGTACACTCCCAGCACCAGCAGTCAGGGCAGCGTCATCTCAGGGTCCTCTTTCCCAGGAGCCGGCCTGGAGCCCGAGGGCAGGAGGGCATGAGAGGCTATGGACAGTTCAACTCTCCCTGGGCCAGTGGAGTCTGACCGGAGGCCCTTCAGAGCTGGGTGCTGAGTCCCTGGGTGGGGCGGGGTGGGGGGGTTTGGGGGTGGGGAGGGGGTAAGGGCTGGCTCACTTCATCTGGTAGAGGTTGTTGGTGCCTCTGTGATCGATGTCATGGCAGAAGGCAGCGGTGACCATGGCCAAGGCTTCCAGGTCTGTGAAATAGCGCTTCAGCTTTCCTGTCTAGAAAGACGAGCAGAGGGGCACGCCCCTCCTTTTTGTGAGCGGAGGCTGGAAGCAGGGTGAAGAGGTACAGGGGAAGAGGGAGGGCCCACGGCTCAGAAACCTGCATCTGATCTTGGATCCAGGGTGTCTAGAGCAGGGCTTCTCGGCCTTCTTAATGTTGCCACCCTTTCATACAGTTCCTCAGGTGGTGACCTCTCCACCATAACATTATTTTTGTTACTACTTCATAACTGTCATTTTGCTACTGTTACGAATCGGGTGACCCCTGTGAAAGGGTCATTTGACTCCCAAAGGGGTCAAGACCCACAGGCTGAGAACTGCTGATCTAGAGGTTCCCCCAAGGCCAAGAGGGTTGCCACGAGGTAGGACATTCAGTGCTAACCCTGGGGCGGTCCCCCACTGAACAAATACTGTGGTCCCCCTCCTCCCAAAAGACCTTAGCCCACCCCAACCCGCTGTGGGTGGCGGTATCCCAATTTCCACACTGTGGGTTGTGATTTCTCAGGATCAGAGAGGTCTTTCAGCATGGCAAGACTGGGAAAGCAAACTTTCCCAACCTGGTTAATCGGTTTAAGCTCAGCCCAGAGGAATCTTTCTCTAGAACTTCTTCAAATTACTTAACTCTTCTCTTCCCTCCATGGGTGGAGGCAAGGGGCAAGGGGAGGCTAACCTTCATAAATCAGAGGAATCAGAACAGGCTCTTGTTCTGTGCTGGCCAAAATCCCTGACTCAGAGCCTGAATCCTACTTTGACCTGCTCATTCCAGCCTGGAAGGGGATCCTGAACAAGGGGCAGGGTCCGGAGAGTGAAATACCTCTAAGTCAGTGCTTCTCAACCTGGGGGTCACGACCCCTTTGGGGGTTGAACGACCCTTTCACAGGGTCGCCCAATTCATAACAGTAGCAAAATGACAGTTATGAAGCAGCAACGAAAATAACTTTATGCTTGGGGGGTCACCACAACAGGAGGAACTATATTAAAGCGTCACAGCATGAAGAAGGTTGAGAACCACGCTCTAAGTGAACAATAAAGGCTCCCAGGTCCTCTGAGCCAAAAACACTGGCACCAATACCATATTTTAAGGCAAAAATGCCCACGTTATAAGTTTTTTACAAACCACACCACCCCTGCCTCTATGTTTCCTGTGCATGCCAGGCATGTTGTATGTGTGTGAGAGCTATTTACTGGACATTCTATTAAAAATATGTGATGATACTCCGAGTTATGTCCCTCCAAAGGCAAGCATTGCAGCACTGTTTGTGGTGCACACTAATAGTTCAGAAACACCCTTCCTTTCCCACAAGAGGGAGCAGGGCATATTTAAATGAAGTATGGTCATCTTTAAATAACAGGATACCATGCACCATAAAAATGCATCATAGGCCAATGTGATTGACAGGTTTTCCAATGAAAGATGGCATATTGTAGTTCTCTTCCATTGGCTAGATGATTCTCTTGGATATCATTCTCTTGGGTAAGTGTGTGTGCCTCCATGTTTGTAAATCTCCATGCTCCCAGGGAAAAATGGAAGGCGTTATCCCAGCGGAAGGGGTTGGCGATACACTGCAGCTGTCTTCCACGTCTTACTGGGCAGGTGTCGCTGGTCTTGGCCTTCTCTGACTGCCAGAAGTGCACATACATCTGCATTGCTAGAAGGGCAGCCAGAATGCCCCTCGGAGGTGAGGATGGTGAGTCTCATGTGCCCGGGCATGTGCCCGGGGCGCCACGCTGGGGAAAGTCGAGGGGCAGTGGAAAGCGGAAGCCCTCGACCCGATGGACTGACCCGGTGGCTGCAGCAACGGGCCCAGCACTAGAGCCGTGGTGAGGCTGGCCCCCGAACGGGCAGCACTTCCTTCTGTCACACACCGGGTCCCTAGGCGCCAGAACCGACCCAACAGCCCCCACCAGAAACAACCAACTCTTGGGGGTATCATTTTAAGAAGCAAACAACCGCGAAAGGGGAACCCTGCTGCCTGCCTCTGCCACGTGGAGTCTGCCCTTGCAGGGTCCCCTGGTTCTGTGGGAGCCCCAGACCCTGCACCCCGCCCCGTGCCCCGTGCCCCGAGGCCCCTGCTGTACCACCAGCAAGGAGAACATGGTCTGCCCCACGTTGAAGCCGTGCCGCCAGTTGTGGTAGGTGATCCTGCGGTAGCCCTTGCTCAGTGAGTACATGAAGCGCACCAGGGCCTGCGAACACAACACACGGGGCAATGAGACCGGGAGGGGGCGGGGAGTGGGAGCGTCGGGGAGTGGGGAGGGGGCCGGGGTCGGGTTGGGGGCAGCCAGTCTGGTGTTGGACCGGAAGATGGGTACAGGAATTGATGCAATAATGCTGTGTGAGCACTTGGACCACCCTAAGTGGCACACGGGGAAGCACTCCGCTGCTAACTGAAAGGTGCGTCGTTTGGACCTACTTGGCCGCTCTGGGGGGAGAGACACCTGGCGAGACGGCCAGGTGTTTATCCCAGAAAGAAACCAAACTCACTGCCATGGAGTTGGTTCCGACTCATAGCGACTGCCCCTGTGCGTTTCGGAGACTGTAACTCTTTCTGGAGTACAAAGCCTCATCTTTCTCCCAAGGAGCAGCTGGTGGTTTCAAACTGTTGACCTCGTGGTTAGCCCAACAATGCAACCCCAGACGCCAACCTTATGGCTTCGGGTCCCAACAGCTAACCTACAAACAGCTCCTCTGTTTGCCTCTAGGGCACTTGTTCCACTGTGTCTGTCAGGGCCTTCTGAGCTCGGTCCCTCAGCACCCATGCACGACAGGACGCCCATTGCTGTGAGCACCGGCCCCGAGATGCCCTGTTCACAGAAACGATTCATGTAATCAACATGACTGATGCTTTCATTCCTCAAAGCTGAGGATGTATGTTTTAATCCACTTCTCCACTCACTTATGGCTATATAAATATATACATTTTTAAGATCACAACCTAGAAAACCCTATGGGTCGGTTCTACCCTGTCCCATGGAGCCACGGTGAGTTGAAACTCGACTGGAGGGCACACCTGACAAGGGCAGCACGTACTGTGCCAACAGGCGTGGTTATGAAACAAGGTGGATGTAGTCACTCCACCTATTCCACCCAATGAGCCTCCGCAGCCATTTCCAGACCACGTCCCCAGAGCTGGTGTCCTGAGAGAAGCAACCAGTCCTTGAAGTAGGGCAGGTGGGGACAAAAGCCTTCCTTGATTCAGAGGTTCCCAAACTTAAGTGTGCATCCGAATCACCTGCAGGGCTAGTGGAGCTGGGTGTGCAGGTGAGGGGAGAGAAAGAGGATTTGCATTTCTGATCAGTCCTCGGGTGGTGCTGAGGCGGCGGTCTTGGGCAATGCTTGGAGAGCCACTGCTTTAACCAGACAAGTCTGGTCAATCCTGCACACCCCACCCCACCCCCACCCCCAGATTCACAGAGCCACCTTAGTAAGGAATACTTACTTGCAGGGAGATGTAGTTTAAATTGGGTGAACCTATTTCTTCCCCTTTGTATAACTACATTAAAAACAAAAAAACACCTACTGCCATCCAGTCGATTGGGACTCATGGTCACCCTGAACAGCGTTTCTGAGCCTGTAAATCTTTACAGACACAGAAAGCCTCATCTTTCTCCCTTAGAGCAGCTAGTAGGTTGGAGCTCCCAGCCTTACGGTCAAGCAGGCCAGCACCTAGCCCACTGCTCCTCTAATCTAAGCCTCTATTCTAAGATCAATATGATTGGGGTTAAAGGAAGTGTTAAGATTAAGAGAATGGTTGGTTTTTGGTAAGAAGAAAAATGTATAAGAAGAAGTAAATTTTCATATTACTTTTTATATGATTAGTTGAAGGGAATATAATATGGGAAGATGTGTAATTTAGGCATATATAGAAGAATCAATTAAATAAAGCCAGGGTTGCTATTAGAAATGGTATAATACTCAGGACCAATAATAAGGGTAGTGATGTGTAAGGGGAAGTGGGGGGAGAAAGGGGTGTCTGATCACAATGATCGACATATAACTCACCCCCACACCCCCCAAGGGGACGAACAACAGAAAAATGTGAAGGGAGACAGCGGTCAGTGTAAGACATGAAAAATAACAATTTATAAATTATCAAGGGTTCATGAGGGAGAGAGGGTAGGGGAGGGAGGTGAAAAAATGAGCTGATACCAAGGACTCAAGTAGAAAGAAAATGTTTTGAAAATGATGATAGCAACATATGTACAAATGTGCATGACACAATGGATGGATATATAGATTGTGATAAGAGATGTAAGATCCCCCAATAAAATGATTTTCAAAAAGAAAAGAACACCATGGTATAAAAATGCTGGCATTTTTACTTATCTCTTGAATAAGTCATTTGAGTATGAAACCTGAGAGGTAGTAAGTCTCCTATAATAATAGTTATAAGTATAATTATTATTAGTGGTATTTTGCTTCATGTTACACATAGGGAAGAGGTTGTGGTAGATATATTATTAATTAGAAGAAAAATCAGATAATGTATGTATAATATAAAATAGTAAGTTTATGAGTATAAGGGATTCGTTTTCAATAATCATTGCAGTTACTCATCCCATATGAGCAATGTATGCATAAGCTGAAATTTTTTATAGTTGAGTTTGATTTAGGCCTCCCAAACCCCTAATTAAGATGGATAAGATACTGAAATTATAATAATATCATGATTAATTGATGGGGAATTTTGATCTAAAATTGAGAGAAGTGCTAATTTTTGTCAAGTTAGTAGAATTAAATCTGATGTTAAACGAGTCCCTTGTGGGACTGTAGGTCATTTGTTTCCACTGCATCCGCTCAGGGTTTTCAGAGCTCAGCCCCTCAGCACCCATGACAGGACGCCCATTGCTCCAAGACAGCCCCGACCACAGAAATGATTCACATAATCAACAGGACCAACGCTTTTGATCCTCGGTACTGAGGACATGTTCTTTTGAGGATAACTCAGGGATCCTGCTTTTTAAAATCCAGGATGACAGAGGAAAGTAAATGCTGCTTATTTCTTTGGCGCTCACCTCCTGCGGAATGTGGAACTTATCCACGACTTTCAGCTCATAGTACATCTGGATCCCACACTTCACCAGCTCCAGCTCCGAGAGGGGCAAGTCGCTGAAGTGGAACTTGTTGATTTCATATTTCTCTGCATCTGGCAGCTCTCCTTGCTGGGGAAGGAACAGTCAGGGGACCGTGGATGTGCAGTGTCCCGCGGTTCTCTCGCCTGCCCACCCCGCCCTGACCCTGCACTGGGCCTGCTGAGAAGGCCCGGGCAGAGGGAGACAGACCTGGTGGAGAGGGTCACGCACACCCTGTGGCTGTTATACGGAGGGTCTGCTCACCAGGATCTCAGACAGCTCCTCTTCCTCACAGTCCCATGGCTCCTTTCCAAACACCTCCCTGGTTTTCTGCCAGGGTGCAAAATAGCAGAGAGAGAAAAGAAGAAACCACCTCTAGGTATATATGACGCATCAAAGGCCCAGCCGTGTCTCCACTTCTCCATTCCCATTTTCTTCCTGCCTCTGAGGTGCTCGCACCAGAAAGGGCACCTCTAACAGGCTGCCATTCAGCACTCCTTGACACGGCAATTCAAGATTCTGGGCGTGGAGCACAGGGACTTGAGACTCCTCCAAATGCAAGCTCCCCACTTACTGGTATTGTTAGCTAAAGCCTCCGAGCCTCAATTTCTTCCTCTGTGGGGCAGCGGTCACAAAAGCACTTTAACTGGTGGATTAAAAGCAGATTGTGCAAGGTAATTTATTAAAGATGTAGCCAACTTGATTAAATGATGTGTATGAACCAGTTAGCACAGTGCTTAACACATAGCAAACGCGAAGATGAAATTGCACCGCTGTGGGTAGTTTTAGGGTTCCGATCACTGAGTGGGGGTCAGGAGGCACAGACATGGCCCTAGCGCTTCCTCTCACTTCCTCTTTCGGATCCAACGTTCCCTCTGGGAGGGTGGAATCTGGGTCCAGTGACGTGTTTCTGATTTCTTGTCTTGGAACAAGCGATGTTCCCTTTAATGGATCTGCCGAAGCTGTACTTCCCTGGGGTCTACACATCCATCACTCGGCTAAATTGTGGGTCAAGTCGAGCAGCTTATGAGGTAATCTATCCAAACTGATGTTTTCTCCTCGATGTACCTGTCATTGGAGTGACTGATCCTGCGGTATCATGTCTTCCCAGCATAAGGACAGGTCTCTGACAAGCTTCCTAGTTGGATCGAGACTCCTAGACACCTGGACACTATGGCGTTTAGGCACCATTCCTATCTGGAAATGAGCTCACCCCCTAAGCCTCCACTTGAGACTTCACCAGACAGGTCTGCGAAGGTACTGCACTCCCTAGAGCCGGGGTCGCCAAATCGGGCTCTCGAGCCACATGCGGCTCTTTCAGTAGGTACCTGTGGCTCTGAAGTGAAACTGGAAAAATTTAAAGCATCTTCTTCAGAGAGTGGTGATTTCATTTGTTTGTAAAACTGTATTTATTGCTCTTGGATAACTTTTAAATTGTTGCGAGGGACAGGATCGGCTCTCCCATCTCCACAGTTTGCCACCCCTGCCCTAGAAGAATCAGCCATTTGCACGGGTGGCATTTCCTCAAGGACTAAGTCCGAGAGTGAGCAAAGGAGGAGGAATGGAATGATAGGGCGCGAGAGAGGAAGTGGGATAAGTGACATGGCCTTGCAGGAATGCCAAAATAGGAATTGCTAAAGGAAAAACCCGTTTGCTCGGTTTTGCTCAACCTCCACCCAATTCACAATAACAAGTTACAAAGAAAGGAGACAGAGCGGCTGAAGACACTGATTTCCAGAGCCGTGCTGTTTCACCTTGGAGGCCCGGGCTCGAGGCCTGGAGAACTCAGCTGTGTCACATGCAGGGCCACGTGGCTCACTCACTTCCCTTCTGAAATCCTGGTCTCTTGGAAACCCAAATCCCAGGGACGGTGGATGGATCACTGATCCTCACATACCTTTGAAGGTATCTAGTCCAACTTCCTACCGCATGGAAGACCTATACTCTTCTCATGATAGGGTACTCACAGTCCCCTGAGACAGTCCAATTGTAAGAGCGATTTCTCATTAAGTGAGACCTACCTGCCAGCTGGGTATTTGGGCAGAAAATACCCATGACTTCCCTCTAATGAGTCTCAATTTCTCTTTCTCTGGAATGAAAATAGAAATCCTTCCCCTGCCCACTGGGCTTGTGTGAGCATCTGACATGATCATAAATATGAAATAGCCTGGTAAACTGTAAAGGTGCTGAACCTAGATGAGGGTTCCCTACTAAGATCTAACTCCTTCTCAACTACATAGACCATGAAAGTCCTCTCAGGTCTGATTGGATCTTTAAGAAAGCCGCCCCACAGGAGGGAGAATCTGAGAAAGTGAGTATTGTCCATTGGTCTGTCACATAAAGCTTCCTCTTACAATAAGGACTGTGGGTAGATTGACTCTACTCCCAGCATCAAGTCAGACCTGAGCAGAGTAAGAAATGGAGTTTCTAGAGCTGTCAGGCCAATGTCTGGCCCCACGACTGAAGTGACCCTTCAAGGGACAACTGCTCCTCAGACCATGCAGAGTAGCCATTATGGACCACTGTCTGGCACTCATTCATCTATCCATCTACCCACCTATGCATCCATGAATGCATCCATTCATGTATGCAAGCATCCATCCATCCATGCATCTATCCATCCAACCATGCATGCACTCATCCATCCACCCATCCATGCATGCATCCACCCATGCGCCATCCATCCACCCACCCATGAATCCATCCATCCACCCATCCGTGCATCCATCTATCCATCCACCCATCCATGCATCCATCCATGCACCCACCCATGCATCCATGCAAGCATCCATCCACCCATGCATCCATGCAAACATTCATTTATCCATGCATCCACCCCTCCATGCAACCATCCATCCATGCATCCACCCATGCATCCATCCATCCACCTATGCATCCATCCATCTGTCCACTCACCCATCCACACATCTACCCATCCATGCATCCTTCATCCACCCATGCATCCATCCATGCATCCACCCACCCATGCATCCATCCATTCATGCATCCACCCACCCAAGCATCCACCCATCTATGCATGCATCCATCCATCCATGCATCCACCCATCCATCCATGCCTCCATCCATCTGTGTTAGTCTACCTAGACTTGAGAAACAAATCCATAGAAACTCATATGTGTATAAGAGAAAATTTTATGTAAAAGACCATTGTGCATTAAGAAAGCATCTCAACCTAGTCCAGTCCAAGCCCATAAGTCCAATAGTAGCCCATATGTCTGATACCAAGCTATAAAGTCCTCTTCAGACTCATGAAACACATGCAATGACGCTGCATGCTGGATGATCACAGGCTAGTGAGTAGAAAGACTTTGAATCCAGTGGTGTTGTAAGCATCTTAGCTCTGGCAGGGACCTCTACATGGCCTTTCCAGCTTCAGAGGTCTGGTTGCATCAGGGTAGGTCCATGTGGTTTCTCCAGCTCAGGGCACTAGCATAGTTCCATGGGTCTTGTCAGCTGCATTGTCTCCCAGGGAGTGAGACTTGTCAGTAGAGCATCTCCAAGGGTTGAGAGAGAGATAATGTGTCTTCTGCCTCCAAGGAGGAAATACCAGGGTTCCCAGAACTCTCAGGAGAAGGCCATGCCCCCACAGAGGCCTCATTGGTTATATCTTGATTGACAGGCCAGACCCCGTCCCTTCACTTACAATTCTCTCAAATTGACACCAGATTATGTAACTACCACACCATCCATGCATCCATCCATGCATCCATCCATGCATCCAGCTATCCATGTGAGATAGTTTATTGTGCCAGCCTGGCTGATAAGCACAAGTGGGATTAACTGAAGGTCAAAGAGATAAATGGCTTGGTGAGCCTTGCCTTTCTTGTCTCTTGCTCTGTGATCATCGGATCAGTGTGCGGCTGCCTTGCTTGTTCTGTGCCTCAATTTAAAGGCTACACTACCTGTGGGATGCCTACCCTGTGGACTGTGTCGCTGTAAGTTGAGGTCCCTTTAAGACATCTCTGGAGCTGGGGACTGGTGGTTGGTGACCTGCTTTGTGATTGGCTGCTGTGCTGACATAGCCTAGCTCTCTCTATAAATAGAGGAAGATCTGGCAGCAGACTAGACTTGAAGGACTGATAGTCTCTCAACTTTCTCTCACGGACGTGAGTTGAACTGAGCCATTTGTAGTACTTTATAATTTAACTGTTTATTTCTTGTATTATATATTTATCTGTATATGATTTAACAGTTCATTTCTTGTTATATATCTAATTATCTTTATAAATAAATATATTAAATTATCAGCAATTTGGTTTTATCTCTCTGGAGAACCCTGTCTAACATACCATGTATCCATCTATCCACCCATCCATGTACCCACCCATGCATCCATCCAACCAACCATCCATCCATCCATGCATCCACCCATCCATCCCTCCATCTCACTTGGATTGGGGATCTTCTGCATCCCTGTGCTGGGCAGGAATAATATAACAGTGAGAAAGTCCCATCCCTGCCCTCATGGAGCCTCAAATCTTGACTTCATTTGTCCTCATTTCCAAGGCACAGTCTTCACCAGAGTAAAAACCAAAGAGAAATGTACTCACCAGGATTTTCTGGATTTCTTCATTGTCACACGTCACATGATATTTCACCATGTCCTGGAAAATGTCCTTCCTGTTTTCAAGTTTGTTCATTGACTCATAGGTGTCAGGATTGAGGACGGACCAGCCCAAGAATTGAGTCAAAGACTGAAAGTGGAGAGAGGAGAAGTGAACCCAAAGTCAGCACTGGTCTCGACTCTGTAAGAAAGGGCACGCTCTCTACACCTCTGTCTTCTCATATATCCAATGGGTTTAATAGGGCATGGGCTGATCACCTTACAGAGTTAAAATAATGGATGTAAACACACTTTTAAAAATCATAAAATAGCACACACATATAGTGTCCTTCTTATGAGTAACAACGTCACAAAAAGGGAAGGTAGATTTCCCTGGTAGCACACAGCAGTGCAGAACTGAGAGGGCAAACATGGACTATGAGGCTGAGTACAGGATAGCTGCCAGGTGAGCTCCCCACCGCCTATCCGTGAGCTCGGTCAACAACACAGCAGGACCCCACGCCCACGCCAATAGCCCACCCCCTCCTCGTGCACCATACCTCCATGAGGGTCTCATCCATTTCATCAAAGGGCTTCCCATCCTTGCGATTGTAAAATGTGGCCACACCGACAATTTCTTCCTTCTTATTCACAATCGGCATAGAAAGGACATTCTTGATCATCCACCCAGACTCATCCAGTGGCTCTTTCTACAAGAGAAGAGACAGGTTAGACGTCTCAGGTTCCAGGCTGCAGAGGCAGCTGTGATGAGTGCCACACTGCATTGTGATCCTGGCAGAAACCTGCTTGGTTAAGAGGAAGTAGCAAGAGGAGAGAGCATGTCGGATTTTGCGTGGCTTTGATCACTAACCAAATGTCATGAGAAGATAGCCTATCTGTTGTCTAAACAGTATATCAGGGACAATGGGGGTGGGGTGGGTAATGGTGAGGGGAACCCACACAGGGAGGTTGTGTTCCCTTTCAGATAGAAGCACTAACCTCGGGGAACTGGCTTCTTAAAAGGGTGACGTTGGTGTCTCTTAGAATGTTCAGTCAATCAACTAGCTAATAACCTGCACCTTTTGCTTCCTGGGCTGACTTCCTGTGTTACTTTCAGCATGTCACTTCCTCTCCACGGGTTTCCTAGCAGTTAAGCACTGGAAGGCCCTCGGTGTAACCCCCCCACCAGCTGCTCCACAGAAGGAAGCCGGCTCAGTCAGCTTCTGTGTAGCTGAAAAGCCTGGGAGCCCTGATGGGCAGTTCTCCTCTGTCATGCGAGCACAGGTCTCCCGGGACAGATCAGGAAGCCCAGGCAAACGTTCGTGGTTGTTTATAAGAAGCCCTGGTGGAGCCGTCCCCATCTCTCTGAGCTTCACTGCCACCCTTTATAAAGTGGGGACAACTGGACACTAGACGTCCCCATTGGTTTATCAA